CCAGGTCCCGAGGCAGCACCAGGTCCTAGAGCAGCACCAGGTCCCGGAGCAGCACCAGATCCCGGAGCCGGAGCAGCACCAGGTCCCGGCCCAGGTCCCGGAGCAGCACCAGGTCCCAGCCCAGGTCCCGGAGCAGCACCAGGTCTCGGAGCAGCACCAGGTCCCGGAGCAGCACCAGATCCCGGAGCAGCACCAGGTCCCAGAGCAGCACCAGGTCCCGAGGCAGCACCAGGTCCTAGAGCAGCACCAGGTCCCGGAGCAGCACCAGGTCTTGGCCCAGGTCCCGAAGCAGCACCAGATCCTGAGGCAGCACCAGGTCCCGAAGCAGCACCAGGTCCCGAAGCAGCACCAGGTCCCGAAGCAGCACCAGGTCCCAGAGCAGCACTAGGTCTCGGACCAGGTCCCGGAGCAGCACCAGGTCCCAGAACAGCACCAGGTCCCGGAGCAGCACCAGGTCCCAGCCCAGGCCCCAGAGCAGCACCAGGCCCTGGAGCAGCACCAGGTCCCGAAGCAGCACCAGGTCCTAGAGGAGCACCAGAGCCTGGAGTAGGTCTGGACACAGCACCAGGCCCAGGTCCAGGATCTGAAACTGCACCAGACCCCAGGCCAGGCCCTGACTCAGATCCCAGGCCTGAGACCCCTCCCGAGGCCTGGCAGACAGGGCAGCTCTTCTCCTTCTGGCCTGCAGCTTTGCAGGCTTCTGGGGAGGAGCCTGCTGGGTTGGGCTTCATCCTTTACTGAGCCATGTGGACCGACCCAGGATCTGTCTACCTGTAGGGAAAAATAAAAGACCCCCCCCCCCCATGTTCTAGATTTGTCTCAAGTCACGTGGATTATCACACCCCTAGGGGCTAAGGAGAACTCCTGGGGGGAATTAGAGACCCTCTAGGTTTGTAGAAAACCTGTCCTATTTAGAATCTTGAGAACTTCCCAGTGGCTGTTGCCTTACTCAAAGACTCTAAGACAGCAGTTCTCAATCTGCAGGTCGCGACCCCTTTGGGGGTCGAACAACCCTTTCACAGGGGTCGCCTAAGACCATCAGATAACACATATATAATTACAGATTGTTTTTGTGATTAATCACTATGCTTTAATTATGTTCAATTTGTAACAATGAAAATATATCCTGCATATCAGATATTTACATTATGATTCATAACAGTAGCAAAATTACAGTTATGAAGTAGCAACGAAAATAATTTTATGATTGGGGGTCACCACAACATGAGGAACTGTATTAAAGGGTCGCGGCATTAGGGAGGTTGAGAACCACTGATCTAAGACAGTGATGGCGAACCTATGACACGCGTGTCAGAGGTGACACACAAACTCATTTTTTTGGTTGATTTTTCTTTGTTAAATGGCATTTAAATATATAAAATAAATACCAAAAATATAAGTCTTTGTTTTACTATGGTTGCAAATATAAAAAAATTTCTATATGTGACACGGCACCAGAGTTAAGTTAGGGTTTTTCAAAATGCTGACACGCCGAGCTCAAAAGGTTCGCCATCACTGATCTAAGACAAGGCAGTCAGGCCTTGGGTTTTACAGCTGGGGAAACTGAGGCCCAAAGTCACACTGCATGGCTGAGATTTACACCAAGTATTTGTGACTTCTCTACCAGGTCCTGAAAACCCCAGCTCCCATGTAGTACCAGAGGAGGACAGATCAAATCGCATCAAAGGGAACCTCACCAGATTGGGGGGGTGACTGCTTTCTGACTGCGGAGATACAGAGGGCTTCCTGGAGGAGGAAGAAGAGAAGGAGGAGGAGGAGGAGGACAGGAGGAGCAGGAGGAGGAGAAAACAAGGAAGGGGGAGGAGGAGGGGGAGGGGGAGGAGAAGGAAGAAGAGAAGGAAGGGGAGTAGTAAAGGAGGAGGGGGAGGAGGAGGAAAGGAGGAGGAGGAGGAGGGGGAGGAATCCACATGGGATCCAAACAGGCTCTGTGCCCTGGAAACTCACATGCTTCCGAATGCTGCACCCACCCATCCTGACCACTGTTGCCTCTGGTCTCCCAGGTGCCCTGCAGAACAGGTGGCTGGCACTACAAGGTCTGCCCAAGCCCACAGGCTCCAGGGTTAGGTCTGTGCACCTCAGGGGCCAGCACTGAGGAGCTGTCCTCCTCGCTCTAGACTTAAAGCAAGCTAGGCTCAGACACCGCCACCATCATTGTCCCCCTCCCCAGCTCCTGCTGCATCTGAGGATGAGACTGGCCCAGGGGCCAGGCACCGTCATCATTAATAACAGCAGGAACCATGTCCTGCGGGCCCACTGTGTGCCAGGCCCAAGGATGCAGAGACAGGTAAGTCTCTGCTCGGTGTGGCACACAGTGGCTGCACAAGGAACAGGTGTGCTGGGTGCCGGAATGATGAGCCCCATGGCTGTAGCGGGTGGTTGGTGGCCACGGGACAGGGACCCTGACAGCACGGGCCTGGACCTGTTCCTCTCCACACTGCCCTACTCTCCAAAGCTGAGTGAGGGATAGTCATGCCCTGCACAAGCCCTGGCCCTCACGGGTTGGGGGGGGGGGGGGCAAATCGGAGTCATCACAGGGGATGAGTCTGATGCCCCCAGAGGGAGCAGAGAGGATGCAGCCGCAGTGTGGGGCCTCCTGTGCCCAGACCCAGGGGACTGTCCCGGGAAGGTCTGTGGGAGGGACCAGAGCAGCTTTTCTGTCCCACGGGGATGATTTGAGTGACTAAGGCTGGGACACTGCCTGGTACCCATTTTTCTGGGTGCGCTCGTGGACAAGAACCTTAAAACCTAGCGGCACCTCAGTATCCACCGCTGTAAAGGGACCCAAATAACCCCGGCCGCTCCATGACCCTCACGGTGGTCAGGAGAGGGCAGTGCCCGGGCAAACAGGTGGCGGGAGGCCCTGCAGGTCGCACTCCCAGCGCCGCGGTTAACTCTCCGGGCGGCCCCGGGCGTGGAGGCTGCCGGTCCCGGCACCAGCGACAGAAACCGAGGCTCAGGGAGCACCCGCGAACCCTCGCGAACTTAATGGACCAGGTTGAGGGTGACCGCAAGCCGGTCACGGTGAAAGGGAGTCGGGACCGACCCGGGCACGCCGGCCTCTGGGCTGCAGGAGCCCGTG